AAAAACCTTGAGGAGCCACGAGGATCTGTGCTTCAGAACCATGTTTTTGCAGCATGGTGTTGCCACAAAGCTGGGGACCCATGAATACTGTGGTGTAAGTAGTGGCCATGGACATGGTATGGGATTTAATGGTATGTTTGGGGTGTCCCAACACAAAAACCACAAGCATCCATGAGGATCCATGCTCCCGAACCATGTTTTGGCAGCATGGTGTTGCCACGAAGCCGTGGACATATGATTTCTGTGCTGCATTCTGTGGCCATGGACAAGGCATATTATTTGATGGTGATGTTAGGGTGACTCAATGCGCGAGAGGTCATTCTGGCTCCCCCAGGTCTTGTTAGGGGCTCTTTAAAAAGTTATGACTGCTGGTGGCAGCGGCAGCAGCGCTAATGGCAGCGCAAGGGGGGGCCGCGCAAAATGTTCCCCCGCCTCTCTGAGCCCCGGGGTGGTGGCCTTGGAGTCCTAGGGGCAAATTCCACCTCTCTCGTGTGATGGCCGAGCGGAGTTGTGGTGCCATGAATCTGTGGATGTGTGATTTTTGTGGTGCCCCCTATAGATTAACACATGGCCTACAATATGATGGTAGTTTTATTTCGTTTCAATGTAAAAATCATATGAATTCATGAGGATCCTTGTAGATCCGACTTTTACCTTTTCCCGACGGGAAGCAACACAGCAAATTACATGGATATGCCGAGAACTATGATAATGATAAGCAAAAGGCACAGTGCACTAATCAGTCCACGGGGTGGGGGTGGGGAGCGGTAGATCGTCTTGGGAATTTAACAGATCCTTATAAGCAGAACGACACCACGCACACTCTTTTCTGTCTCGGATTGACTCCTTCACTCCTCCAAGCCGAACAGACTCACGAAAGCTTATAACCTCCCCCAAACGTTTGTTAGCCTTAAAGGCGTTACTGGTCTCTCGCCCTGTTCTACTGCTACAGACTAACACGGCTAACCACCTTGATCTACTTTCCCATAATTTACTATGATTGGTTCACTGTAGAACTAGACTGTATGACGTCACTGCACCCCCGCAGCACTACGTCTCCCACAATTCTTAGCGGCACAACAAACGACATGTGTGCCTTGACCTAGCTCGGTGGGGGTGGAGTTGTATTAACAGCCTGCTCGAGAGTCAACTGATGTGGAAAGATCGTTTGTGAAAGGGTAAAGTGATAAATATCTAGACCTCTATACTTCCGGAAAGGTTGTTTGTTAGCAGCAGGGTCAAAGAGGTGTGGGAGCTTGCTGGGCAGTATTAGCCGTGGAGCGGAGAAGCAGGGAATGAGTCAAGGTCAAGGCACGGCAAGGGCTTTTCATGATTTGCTTTGGTTGTCTAGTTTGCGGACTTCCAGAGAGATGAAATGAGAGAAACAGGAGAAACCAGGAAGGAATTCTTGTGGAGCCTGAGAGATGAGCAATATTCTATCATCAGTTTATATGGTGGAGTACAGCCTACGGGCTGAGTTTCAAAAGCATTAAAATCCATCGATTCAGGTGGGTAGCCGTGTTGGTCAGCAACAGAACAAAGTTTGAGTTCAGTGGCACCTTGAAGATAAACACTGGCCTCAAAGTTTTGTTCTATTAAAATCCATAGAAAGGTTGCCAATTCACTCTGGCAATTCCTTATTGTTTTACCCTCCTGACAAGGGGAAAGGGGCAGTGTTCTTCTCCTGCAGTCTCTGTTGCTTTTCTAACACGTTTGGAGGGAGAGACTGATTTTTCACAAACATTTCTCAACAAAGTTGAAAAAGTCTCTTTCATACAGATAACTTATTTTAAGAATTTTTGTAACTAGGAAGTGGGAGACATAACATAACAACCTTTACAGTTTTGATATAAGACAGGAATTGGTACTGCTATGCTTGGGAGAACATTATATAATAGATGTCAATAGTTTATGATATGTTCATGATATACACACACGGAATACCACTGAGGGAGAGCACTTGGGCTATCTCCGCCTCCAAGAGTCTCTAAGTTTCAGGGATCATTTGGGTTCAGCTTTGGGCATGTGAAATTATAATGAAATGCAGTAAACCTTGAGCCCCTGGCAATTGTAGCAAAAAGGTTAGCAATATAGATTGTAAGGAGTCAAGTTAGTATTTCAATGAGTGTACTAACAGAGTGGCTTAATCTGACTCTATACACTACCTTGGATGGTAATAATTTACATTTGATTTGTTCAATGGGATTCTTAATTTCTCCACAGTGCTGGGAATCAATTGCCTTGTAGACATGAAGAATGATCATGTTCCAGCTCTTTAATGGAATGGAAGGTAGGGTATTTGCTTACCAGTTTAGAACATTCCTTAATTTTCTGAAGTAATGAAGAGGGGTGAGGGAGGCGATGTGGCTCAGGAAGAGCCTCTGCTTTGCAAGCAGGAGGTCACAGATTCTATCCCCGGCATCTCCAGTAGGTAATGTGAAGGACTTCTACCTGAGACTCTGGAGAGGAGCTGTCAATCTGAATACACAATATTGAGCTTAATGCACGGATGGTCTAATTCAGTATAAGGCCTCGCATGTGTGATTGCAATCCTAAACAGAGTCATACCCTTCTAAACCAGTTTACTTCAGTGGATTTAGAAGGGTGTTATTCTGTTAAAGATTGCACTGTGCATCTGGGAGAATATGATTCCTGTAGTAACTGGACAACTGTGATTAATCTGTTTGGAATGTACTTGCTTGGTTTTAATTGACATAGTTGGGCTGTCAACTGATTAAATATTTTGAGTTGCTAAATCACCTGGCTTTTAAACAATTAAATTTAAATAAATTTGACCAGCCCACAGATAGATTGTATAAGGTAATGATGTGAATTCACAAATTAATAAAAGAAGCTACTATTCATTGTTACAAGAAAATTTCATATTCAGTATTCTTTTCTATCAGTTTGGAAATCCAAAATACTGATTATCATATGATAATAGGCCACAGTATCAGAATGGTTAAAATTCCGCTGATATTTTGGAAGATCAAGACAGATCATAAATGTAATACAAAAAGCACAAGAATTTTGACTTCTAAAGCAATTCTGTGTATATATGTGTAGACATCTAGCTTCTATTTTCTAAAACTATCTCCTAGAAAATAGCCTAAAATGTCAATAAGTAATTTAAGACTTCATCTCCAATCCCTTTTAAAAGTTATAATTATCTGTCTATTGGAATTTATTCAGATTTTCAAATAGGTGATGATTTGCATTAAAACTGCACTGAAGAACTATGAAGTGGTTTTGTGTGGTACTGTGGAGAAAAATACAATGTCATTTCTGGGCATACTCAACACTGGTTCTAAAGAAAGAAAAACAAGTTCCATATTACTGCATCTACAGCCATAGACAGTTGTCAGATCACAAGCCTAAAAAAATTAAAGACTTTTACATGCTGCTTAAACTTCAGGAAGGCTGCTCTTTGGATGATGTTAGAAATTCATACCGAGATCTTGCCAAGAAATACCACCCAGACAGTGGTTCGGTTACAGCAGATGCTGCAACTTTTGTGCAAATTGATGAAGCATACAGAGTGGTACTTAATGATGTGGCTGAGAAAATTAAATCAAATGAAAAGGAAGATGAGGAAGAAGACAAATTCAAGTCTGTAGCACCACAACATAGACAGTATTTAAGTTTTGAAGGCATTGGTTTTGGTACACCAAGTCAAAGAGAAAGACAATATATGCAGTTTAGAGTTGATCGGGCTTCTGAACAGGTCATGGAATACCGCAAACAGAAAATGGAGAGCCAGTCCGCTATGAGCAGTACAATGTTAGCAAAAGATATAAGGCAAAGTAAGAAGGTAAAAATCACCCAAGCAATTGAACGGTTGGTTGAAGACCTAATTCAGGAATCTATGGCGAAAGGAGACTTTGATAACCTCAGTGGTAGAGGAAAGCCTTTACGAAAATTTTCAGACTGTCCACATATTGATCCTATGACTCACAATTTGAATCGTATTCTGATAGACAATGGATACCAACCAGAATGGATTATAATGCAGAAAGAAATACGGGAAACAATTGAAAAACTGAGGAAGGATTTGATTGCTTCCAGGAATAAATTGGGAGATCCAATGACACTGCATAAAACAAAACTCTGGAACGAGGTCTGTGAACAGTTTACAGAAAATATCAATAAATTAAACAAAAGAATTAATGATTTCAATTTAATTGTCCCTATTCTCAGCAGACAGATGGTGCATTTTAATGCCAACAAAGAAATTGCACGTGCACAAGAACTCTGCGAAGTCCAGATAAAGAAAACAAGGGCTGAAGAAAACACAAAGGAAATAGAACATGATCGTGGCAGAGAATCTGATCTTAAGACCAGCTTTTTAAAATGGATGAATCTTATTTTGAAGTAAGATCGAGATTTGGTTTCATGAAGACTTACATCACTTCCACAAACCATTCTGTTTTCGATTTACTGATACAACAAACTGCATTTCCTCCTTTGCCATCAAACTGTACAAATGAATCAACACAGTTCTACCAGTAAAGCCTTGGGTTTGTCAAGATTCCTGCATTTTCATGTATGTCAAATTAGATTTAAAAAGAGATTGTTAGTCAAGTTATATTTACATTTGGAAATAAAAATATATATGAAATTAATTTCAGGAACATTGTTGTTTTGGAGTTGAAAGATCATCACTCATCTTCAGTAATGCTTATGCTGGAGGCAAAATGATAGAAGCACTAGAATCTGCCACTTGAAGAAGCTGCTTTGTCGTGTCACCTGTTGCTCCACATCCATTCTTTTCCATTCCATTGCTGGTTGAGAATGGATGGGAATCTGGCTACAATTTTTTTACAGTGTTCTTTAGAGCTCAGTGTTTCTCAGTGATGATAATGCTGCTTTACAATAGTGCTGCTGACCATCTCCACCATCTCATATTGTGAAAGGGCAGGACCAGCCTAACCATGTAAGTGATCTAGGCAGGCACCTGGGGACCAGCTGTTAAGGGGTGCCAAAAAGCTCATGCTGAGCTCCTCCTCTCCTTTGGGATCCACAGCTACATTCACCTATGTCTCCAGCTGTGCACCCAGTGTGGCCAGTGGAAACACTAGGGGGAGGTAGGAAGAGAGGAATGCTGTGCCTGTGCCCACCTACTAGCCAAGCCTGCCTAGGTGAGAGGAGCATACAGAGCCAGCCATCTTCACCCTTGTGTCAGCAACAGATCAGTGGTTGCTGTAGCTGAGCTGTGTGCCCAGCAGGGCCAGTGGAGGTACCAGGAACAGAAGGGATGTTGCTTTTTTCTTTGAACAATTTCAGGAAACAACATCCGGTTTAACTATATGTGTACTAAAACTCTGTAACAGGTCTTTGAATGTGTGTCTAGAATATATAGATAATAGGGACCACTGAGGAAGGCCCTTAGGGGCCGAAACGCGTTTGGTCTTCGGTTGTAAAGTATTTACCCATCATATGTATGTATAGTGGATATGCTTTTATAGTCTGATCTTAGACAAGTAATTTTTAATCAGGAAAGTTTTAACATGTATACACCTTAATAAATATTTGTACTTTTATGTATATGGTTTAGCTTAGCCCTTTTTGGTTCATAGTATAAATCCAGTCTCCTCCTCCTCTTGTCTGTCCTGATCTATTGCCCATGAACTTCATTGGGTGCCCTCACATTCTAGTATTTTGGGAGACAGAGATTTATTTCTGTCCATTCTTTCAACCCCATCATAATTTTATAAACTTCTGTCATGTCCCTCCTCAGCTGTCTTTCCTAAATTGAAAAGTCTCTGTAGCCTTTCCTCATAGCTTTTTAAGATAAGATGACCAGAACTGCACATCGTATTCCAGATGAGGCTGCACAATGGATCTATATAGAGGCATTATAATATCAGCTGTTTTATTTTCAGTATCTTTCCTAATATAATAATCCCTAATATACAGTTTTCCTTTTTCACCACTACAGCACACTGGGTTGACACTTTCATTGAGCTAACTACTATGACCCCAAGATCTTTTCCCCTCTTGACTTCAGCAACTTCAGACACCATCAGCTGTCCGATCCCCACAGCTGTCAATCAAATATACACGTTTGTAGCAAAGTATTATTTTATTGAAGCCATGATGAAGCAGGAACAAGTTCACTGTTTGGAATAACTACAACGGTTGAGGCACAGAATGATAAAGCAGATTCATACTGGCAATAACCAATGGACATGTTTCCCGCTCGCGCGGGTGGACTCTCATATTCGCGCCCATAGCCTGAGAAGCAACGGTTCCTAAAAGATAAACAATTAAGTTCTTCTCACACTCCAATTCATTATAGACTAAGCGAGCCAACTCTTCATCGCACCTGTGACCTTGCTGATTACTATAGTTCAAAGCAACACTAGCGTTCATAGAAAGGAATGCATGAGACAAGCAAACGTGCGATTCATTATACCAGCAAGCATGCGCAGTGGGTATCACTAAGGAAGACGAAGGAGGGGGGGGAAACCCTAAACAGGGACGGCTGTACCCCACACAGAGTTCTTTGGCAGCTTGCTGACATCAACATATACCTACAGTTGGGATTTTTTCTTCCTGTGTGCATCGCCTCACACTGCCCTACATGGAACTTAATTTGCCACATTGTTCCCTATTCAAGAGAGATCTTTCTGGAGGTCTTCACAATCCACTTTGGTTTTCACTGTCCTAAATAATTTTATGCCATCAGGAAATTTGACCATTACACTGTTCACTCCCAATTCCAGATCATTTATGAATATATTAAATAGCAGTTGTTCCAATACCAATATATGTGGGACCCCACTGCTCACTTCCCTCCATCGAGGGAACGGTCTGTTTATTGCTGTTCTCTGCATCCTATCATTTATCCAGTTCTTAATCCATTAAGGCAGGGGTGTCAAACATAAGGCCCCGGGTGTGTGTGTGTGTGGAACCGGCCCATCCAGGGCTCTAATCCAGCCTGTCAGCAACTGGTGCAACGGAGGAAACAGGAGGCTGCTCAGGGTATGTGTGAGTGGGCGGAGCAGCTCTGATTGTGGCTTCAGCACGGTGGAACAACCTTGTCTGCAGCAATCAAGCAGAACCCCTTTGCTTCAGTGGCAGCCTCACTGGTAAATTGGGAGCTGCTGCAGCCAGGTTAGGGTTTCAAGATGAGATTGCACGACTCTCTGCTCGTCCTCCAGTTCCAGGGCTGCTGTCCCAGATGGCCACGGAGATCAGCATTTGCACATGGGGGGGTGCAGATCTTTTGCTGGGGGCTGCTAGCGGCCACCGCCACTGCCATATTCATGCCCCCCCATGTGGCAGCTGTGCTTTGGCCCGGGGGCATTCTTTGGCAGTTTCTTCCATACATTGGGGGCCTATTCCTGCTACCGAGCACATGACTCTCCATGGAACACCCAGCAGCCTTCAGCTGTTGGTGGCTGCCGCCTTGTGGGGGGTAGTGCTGAAATTTTTGGCTATACTGGTCACTGAATGGCCAGGAGCCTCTGCCACACACATGGCCTTGTGTATGCGATGCCCAACCCCCCATCAGATAATCCAGCGGCCTTCGGCCTGGGATGGCTACTGCCACATGGGAGTGGCACAGCTTGCTGACTATCTCTGGCTTGGACCCCCAGCACTGCCTTGCCATGGATCACCTGGCAGCCTTGGCCGGAAGTGGCTGCTGCTGCATGGGCATCTCCAGCTTATTGGACTTTGCTTGGCCCACTGTGCACGTGGTCTCATGTCTGGGCCACTGTCCCCTGCTTCCACAGCTGGGCGGGGGGGTTAGTTCAATTTGTATTCCCAGGCCCCTTTCATGGTGGCCCCGGAGGCAGGGGAAAGGTTGCAACCAATGTTCCCTCTAAGCTGAGTTAGTGTGAGTTAGCTCACATTTTTTTAGCCTCCAGCTCACACATTTTTGTCTCAGCTCAGGAAGGAGGGCTCCAGAGCAAACTAATTTATGCAGTAGCCAAATCGCTGGCTCACAACTTTAATGCCAGTAGCTCACAAAGCAGAATTTTTGCTCACAAGACTCCACAGCTTAGAGGGAACATTGGTTGCAACACCCAGCCACTTTGTGTTTTCACCCTGGGCCCTGGTCTTACAGCATTGACAGTGGGAGCATGCTGGGGCACCACCCCATATATTGAAGGCCACACAACCAGGCTCTGACGTCAGCACAATGGTGACGAGATTAGTCATAACAGTCCCCTAGTGGGGATAAGCCAGCGGGCAGTTTGAATTCAGTCGGTGGAGTGTCGGAGAGAGATTTCAGTTAGAGGAGCCTCGTGTTGGCTGTTCTCTTCCTCTGTAATACTCTGCTAACAACAGTTTCTTCATTTCTGGATTAAATATGCCTTTTCGCTGTTGTGTTCCTGAATGTATTTCCATGGAAGAAAGAGGTGGGTCGATTCCCGAAGCTTCCCTTTCCCCCCCTTCCCCCTCCCCCCCATTTTGCAATAGAGAGAAGCTGGGGAGGTGGAGGCTGCTGAAATGGGGATTTGTGTGTATGTGTGTGTGTGGGGGTACATGCGTGTGTGCATGTGTGCTCATGCCTGGAAGTCATGGTGACAGAGCCACAAGGTATAGATAGGGACTCTGGGGCAAGTGATGCTCTGTCTTCTTGGTGCTTGGGGGGGGGCAACAGTGGGAAGGCTTCTAGTGTCCTGGCCCCACTGCTGGACCTCCTGAGGGCACCTGGTACTTTTTTGGCCACTGTGTGACAGAGTGTTGGACTGGATGGGCCACTGGTCTGATCCAGCACTGGCTTCTCTGATGTTCTTATAAGAGGGAATTGGAATTGGATAAACATATGGAGCAGAGGTCCACCAGTGGATCTCCTGCTGTGTCAGTGGTAAATAAAAAGTAATACTGAAAACCAGAAGTTATTTGACAATACCATCATACAACAGACATCCACCACTTTCCCCTATTATATGCTTGTAAATTATACGAAACATGCACTCAAATATGCAAGGGAAACTGAACTCAGTAACACTGTAAGCTAGTGTGAAGTGTCTGGAATACTGCAGTGAAAAAATCAAGAGAATATCTTGTTGAGAACACGAGAAACTGCAAGTTAAAACACTTGTGACAGTAGCTGGAAACTGCAGAGCTCAGGGAATGTTATGCCTACAGTTGATGACGTCATGACGTAAGTGTTCAGGCCTTCCATCTATAGAGGGTGGTGGCTGGGGAAGGGGTTTGTCCCCCCCTCCAGGCAGCACGGGGCATCTGCCCAGTGCTGCACCACTGGCTCTCCAGTCCACCCATGTGGGTTTTCCTCTGTGCGCACCCCCACCCATGGGGCCTTGGAGTGGGGACACACCAACTCGGAGCTTAGCAGCTGCTGTACTTTGTAAAGTTTGTGTCTCCAGTACTTGGCTGTCCTTAGTTTTAGTACGTCCCTTAGAAGGGCTCTTAAGAAACACTGAACTGTTTACAACTAATGTGGGAACACATGCAATGTATTTAAGGGCAATCAAGTGCGCCAAAAGTGCATGAAATTATTTTGTTAATCTAATACAAGCAAAGAATGATTGTTTTGATGTGCAAAAACTATGCAACTTCAGAAGTAACGAGCTCTATATCTAGGGGCCCTCAGGAGCGCATGCTCCCAATCACCTCACAAGTCCCCCCCCCTTTTTAAGCCACACCCCGAAAGCCGAAAGCGCAGAAACCTTTGCGAAGAAACAACTGATCGAAGTCGTGAGGAGCGGAGCCACATGACGCTTTCATGACGCCTTGCGCCTTCCCGGTTTGGAAGCCTGCGCCGAGCTAACCGCCCAATCAGCTGGCTCCCTTTCCCCCCATGATGACGCTCTACGCTGGATGGCGACTGGTCAGAATTTCTGTCACTCCCTTCTCATACCGCCCGGTGGCGGAGGCTGCCAGCCAGCCAGCCAGCTTGAGACAGTGGATGGAGGAACGGAGATCTTTCCAGGTGAGGGGGCTGGGAGAGGCAGGCGCTGTTTCCCTCCCCTTTCGGACTTGGGTCCCGGAGGGGCTTGTGTTTGGGTGCCGATAGACATTCATCCCTTTTCATTTTGCTTTTTTGGGATTTGCTTTGTTCCTGTGAAGAACTGTGAGGTGATTTTCGGGGTGTGTGTGTGGGTTGTTGGTCTCGAGGGCCGCCCCGTCCATTACCACGAGCTGTTGGACCAGCCCCCCCCCCCCCCCCCCGGTCTTCCTTTGTAACGGCCCTGAAGCTGCGCATCAGCGGGAGGCGCCTTGTTTCCCGTTCGGGTGGCGTTTGTGGGGGAGAAGGACGCTTCCTACTCTTGCTGACCGGCTCTGGTGCTGGTGGTGGGAGAGGCTTTAAAGCTTGACCTTCGTGTTGTTAAGGGGACATAAAAGGGCAAGGAGGCCTTTTAGCGGGGCAGTTATCCTGCCCTGCCCTTAGAGAGGACTAGGAGACATAAACGCGCGCGCTCTCTCTCGCTCTCTGTCCCACCCTTCTTTGTAGAAAGCGGGATTTAAATTCTCCGTTTACAGTTCATTTCCCAAGGATGAGATTTCCTGTTTGCATTTCTTGTCTCCTGTGACTTTGGGGGGGGAGGGGGTGAAGCGAAGTCACGGGATGATCACCGTTGTGGGGGCACTGGGGCTATGGTCTCTGGCTTGCGAGTGCATCTTTGCCGCCTCCACCTGATTTCCACACACAGCGATTGTTTGCACCCATATGCGTTTTTTAATCTAGTGAAACCGGTTCCACTTGTGGGACTATGTACCATGCTTGGAGAATGAGTGCAGTTTTATCTGGGAGCTGGCAAAGATTATTATCTCAATGGAGTCTCAGCAGCATGCAACAACGTTTATTAAATCCTTAATAAAAGACTTCAAAGTTCTAAAGTTGTATTCCTTAAGGGATTTAGTTGCTACTGAAGCATCTGCTCTGTCTTACTCTGTGCTGCACTAGTCAAACATAGAGGTTGTGTACTTTGCTTGCTGTCCTGAGGTGGAGGTTGTATTGTTTCTTAATATTGCTTCTTTCTAGAATTGGAATGTTCCTTTCACTTTTCTTTTAGTTTCTGTTCTAAACCCAGGATCATTGATTCTCAACAGCTCAGCTCTGTTCTTTGCTTTGTTAATACTGGGAAGGCTTGAAGATATATTTGTCCTCACAAGCCTCTCTAGGTCAGAGTCCTGTGACCTCTTCCTTAAGGAATTCATAACTGATATGGAGCATGTATCTATATGCATTGATCACTCATGAATGGATCTGTCACTGATCATCTTGTTTTTTATTGAAGAAACCCACCAAGATTTATTTACCTAATGTGATCTGAGCAATGTGCCCCCCCCACACATACATACATTGTGTTATGTGTTAAAATATGGCTGAAAATAAAAACAACAAATGTTTCATTTTTGTCCTGAGTGCTCAGGTACTTTCTGGCATATGAGGGGCAGTTTCATTATGAAGAGTGCTTGTGTCAACTTAAAAAATGTTTTCATTTAGCTATGTTAGTCTGCAGTAGAACAGTTAGATTCAAGTCCAGTAGCAGCTTAGAGACCAACAAAATTTTCAGGGTCACGGTTATAACTTATTCAATAAAATGTCAGCAAAAACTATATAAAGAACAACTTTCCAAATTATAGTATTTCCAGTAGCCTGATGAACTTCACACTTTTGCTCCCATAGTCCAGTGTTTGGGAATGGTTTGATTATGGGGTAGATGTTTTGGCCATGCTCATCAATTCAGGAAAAAAAAAGTTTGACAGTTTCACTTAAAACTTCATTTGTGCAGTTGTTGGGTTAGGTTCATGTAGGAGGCTTGTTATAGCTAGTATTCCAGGCTTTCTAGTTTGTCCTGTTCTGATCTTGTGTAAAATACTGGGAATATCAGCTATTAAGAAAAAAAAGTATTAGTATTGCTGCTACTTTTGGATTTTTAGATCATGCATTTACTATTTGTAGTTAGTTTAAATACAGAATTTCTGTGGGCTGTGTGTTTAGGTTTAACTGAAGAGAAGCCTTGTACTTGGACTAGATTTTAGGAAGGTTCTTTACAGCAAAAAAGAGAAAAAGAGAAAAATCCCACATTAATGGCATGTTTCTGGAGAGCTGGCACTTTCTAAATACATTCTAGTGAACACATTCTTTCCTCTCCCTTCAGTTTCCAGAAACAAAACCAGCAAAGTAGCTAATATCCTTGGAGCCCAATCCTAACATTTGTTTGTCCCCTTGAATTCAAGATTCTTGCTACATAAGTAGGAAACTTCTCTACATTTGAGTTTTGTGCTCTTTTATGCCATCTGATCAGTTATTCTTTTATGCCATCTGATTAGTTATTCTGTAAAATCGGTTTAATATTTTTATATTAATTTATGGATATTGTTTTATGAATGTTGTTACCTGCTCTGAGCCCTGTTGTACAGGGGCAGGGCGGGTTATAAATACAATAAATAAACCTACTTAAATAGGAAACTTATAAAAAGGGGGATTTTAAAAAGCAATTATGAAGGTAGAATGCCAGCAGGGGGTTGGAAGCTATCCACTGTATTGCACTGTGCAACATATTATGACCGTCTGCCAGCTGGACAGAAGTCACGGGTGTGTGCCCAGTGCAAGGAGCTCCTGGTTCTCAGGGAACAAGCTTGCACCCTCAGGGCCAAGGTGGCTGACCCGGAGAAGCAGAGGCAGTCAATTAGGTACCTGGATAAGACTCTTGGGGACTTGTTAGATGAGTCCTGCTCCGAGAATGGCAGCCACACTGCTGTTAGGGAGAATGAGGGTCAAGGGGGAACAGGGCACCATGCTGAAGAAAGGGGGAATGTTCCCTCAGAAGGTACCCCTTCTGCAGTTGGAGAACAGGTATCCTTTTACACAAAGGAACTATTTCTGGGCAGGGAGAGAGGGGGGCCTCTTGGTTGTTTTTTTAATTTTGTTTTATTTTATTTTCACTATGGGTGAAAATATTGTGCCCAAAGGAAGCTTAATTCTGGGAGTTTGTTATCACCCACCAGATCAAAGTCTAGAGGATGATTTTAAAAAGAAAAAAGAAAAGATGATTTAAAAAGAGCAAAAGAATTAAGGAAAGCTACTAGAATAAAATAACTGTGTCGTAATAGGCGATTTTAAGTACCCACACATTGATTGGGTCAATATTCTCTCAATGACTGTACACATTGAATGGTCACAGAACCTTCCGGGGCCAAAGCCAGTGCAGGTTAGGAAAGGTACAGATAGGTATTTAAAAAGGGTTGCATGGTTCACATACAAAGTAATGGAAGCAGTAAAAGGTAAGAAGGACTCCTTTAAGTGGTGAAAGGCTAGTCTGAGTGAGGTAAACAAAAGGGAGCACTGGCTTTGTCAAATAAAATGCAAGTTGGTGATCAGACAGGTTAAAAAGGTACTATGAGGAACATATTGCAAAAGCACAAAGACCAACAATAAAAATTTCTTCAGATACATGAAAACCAGCCAGAGAGCCAGTGAGGCCATTGGATGATCAAGAATTACTAAAGGAAGATAGGGAAATGGCAGAGAAACTGAATGCATTTTTGCCTCCGTCTTCACTGTGGAAGATGAGAGGTGCTTTGCCCACTCCAGAACAGCCAATTTCAGGAGGAGTGTTGAAAGACTTGAGTTAGATGGAGGTGACAAGAGAGGAGGTCCTGTGCCAGATGGACAAATTAAAAACTGACAAATCACCAGGTCTCAATGGCATACATCCGAGAGTTCTGAAAGGACTCAAATGTGAACTTGTGGATCTCCTGACAAAAATATGCAATCCTTCAATAAAATCTCCCTCCATTCCCAAGGCCCGGAAGGTAGCTAATTTAACACCCATCTTTAAAAAAGGTTCCAGAGGAAATCTTGGAAATTTCTGGCTGATCAGTCTAACCTCGATACCAGCTAAGTTGGTGGAATCCATTATTAAAGATAGACTTGGTAGCTCGGCGTTCGGAATAAGCGGCGGCACCAGAGGGCTCCCCCCCACACAAAAGAGACTTTTTAAAGGCTAAAGAGGGGGCGAAGCTTAAGACGGTATAAGCGTTTTACCTTCTGGGAGGGAGAGGAAAACGGAGACGAGGGAGCCATCCCGGAGAGTTGCGGCTAGAACCTTCAAAGTGTAAACAAAGCTGCAACATGGCGGGGTCGAGAAAACTATCAGAGAAGCAACTTAAGAAGACAGGCGGGACTTCCTGTCCTAGTCCTTCTCCTGCTGGAACTGCTGTCAATCAACAAGATAGTGACCGTGCTCGCCATCTGCTGGCAGAACTGCAAAAAATCAATCAGAAACTTGATTCCATGGAAGGTGCCTTTGGACTTCAACAAAAAAAGATGACAGAGACAGCCGAAAAGGTAGACGATATTGCAAAGAAATGTCTGGCATCAGCAGAAGAAGTACAGATAGTTAAGAAGAAGGTCTTCAATGTGAAAAAATAAAAGAAGAAATGGATTTGGTCTATAGGGCCTACTCCAATTTCACAAGAAAAAACAAGTTGCCGGCAGAAGTGGTTGTGAAATTCTCAAAACAGCATCTCAGGGACCAGATTTTAAAGGTTACATCAGCGTCACCCCTGAAAATTGGAGATCAAATGATCAGGATTTTGAAAGATGTTCCATTTGAAATCAGAATGAAAAGAAAGGAATATAAAGGCTTGACCACCTTCTTGCAAAAACATCAAACGAGTTATAAATGGCTGGGTGCCCGAAGGACTGGTTTTCAAGTTCAAAGATAAAAGAGAAAAAATAGACTCTAACTTTAAGGCTCAAGATTTCTTGAAAAGGCATGCCAGTAAAGGAGAAGGAGCAGAACTGGCCAAGTGGATGTCATCACTAAGCGTGGAAGACAGCAGCTCGGAGGGAGAGGTGAAGGACGAAGAAGCCGGAGGAGCGACGGGATTGAAATACAACTTGAGAGAAAAGAGAGGAAAAGACCCCAAAGTTTAAAAACTTTCTTTTTTTTTATTTTTTGGATTACACTTTGAAATTAATCTCAGAAGGACATTACTAATATATTAATTGCCTTATTCAACAGAAACAGAAGAAAAGAAGAACGCCCGACGGTAGAAGATATCATGGACTGTTAACTTTTAATACTAAAAGATTAATATACTAATACTCTAACACCACTCATCTTTCCTTTACCCCTCTATATACCCTCCCCCCTTTCTGAACTTTAAGCGAAATATATCTCCTTTTTAGGAGAGGGAATAAATCATTTATATATATAAAAAAAAGATAGACTTGGTAGGCACATTGATGAACAAAAGCTATTGAGGAAGAATCACCATGGATTCTTTAAGGGAAGATCTTGTATCACTAATATTTTAGAGTTGTTTGGGGGAGTGAAGAAACATGTGGCCAAGGGTGACCCAGTTGATGTTGTTTACTGAGACATTCAGAAAGCTTTTGATAAAGTTCCTCATCAAAGGCGCCTAAATAAACTCAGCAGTCATGAGATAAGAGGGCAAGTCCTCTTGTGGATTAAAAACTGTTTAATTGACAGGAAACACACAGAGAGTATAATAAATGGGCAGTTCTCATAGTGGAAGGTGGTAAGCAGGGGTGTACCATAGGGCTCAGTACTAGGTCCGGTGCTTGTTCATTACTGATTTGGAGCTGGGAGTAAACAGCGAAGTGGCTAAATTTGTGGATGACACTAAGTTGTTCAGGGTGCTGAGGACTGGGAAGGACTCTGAGGTGCTCCAGAGGGATCTGTTGAGGCTGGGTGAGTGGGTGTCAACATGGCAAATAAAGTTCAACACGAGCAAGTTTTGGAGCCAAAAATTCTAACTATAAATTGATGGCGTCTGAACTGGTGGTAACTGACTAGGAGAGAGATTTTGGATTCATGGTAGATAACTCACTGAAAATAATGACTCAGTGTGCACCTGCAATAAAAAAAGGCAAATGGTATGCTGGGGATTATTAGGAAGAGGATTGAAAACAAGTCAGCCATTATAATGCCTCTGTATAAATCTATGGTGCGGCCTCATTTGGAATATTGTGTTCAATTCTGGTCATCGCAACTCAAAAAAGATATTATAGCATTGGAAAAAGTGCAAAAACAGGCAACTAAAATGATTAAGGCGATGGAACATCTTTCCTATGAAGAAAGGTTAAAGAGGTTAGGGCTCTTTAGCTTGGAGAAATGACAATTGAGGGGTGACATGCAATGCTCCCTCTAAACTGTGGAGTCTTTTGAGCAAAAATTTTACTTTGTGAGCTACTGGCATTAAAGTTTTGAGCAAGCAATTTGGATACTGCATAAATTAGTTTGCTCTGGAGCCATTCTTCCTGAGCTAAGACAAAAATGTGAGCCAGAGGCTAAAAAACTGTGAGCTAGCTCACACTAATTCAGTTTAGAGGGAACACTGGTGACATGATAGAGGTTTACAAAATTATGCATGGGATAGAGAAGGTAGAGAAAGAAGTACTTTTCTCCCTTTCATGCAATACAAGAACTCATGGACACTGAATGAAATTTATGAACAGCATAGAATAGATAAAAGGAAGTCGTTCTTCACCCAAAAAGTAATTAACTGGTGGAATTTGCTGCCACAAGAAGTGGTGGTGGCTACAAGCATAGACAGCTTCAAGAGGGGATTGGATCCATCGGTGGCTATTAGTCATAAGAATGGTCAGTGGATATTAGCCACAAGGTATAAATGGAACACTGTGTCTGGGGCAGTGATGTTGGGTATTCTTGGTTCTTGGGGGGCAATAGTGGGAGGGCTTCTAGAGTACTGGCCCCACTGGTGGACCTCCTGATGGCACCTGGGTTTTGGCCATTGTGTGATCCAAAATGGCTTCTCTTATATTCTTCTTTTCTTTCTGGTAGGATTATGACCCTAGTTTATTCCACATGTTGTCTTTAGACACTGATATTAGTTTTTGCCATCCAGAGGTGTTCCTGAAACTATTCCATTTTCATGTCTTGAATGATGTTTGTATTGCTTCAAGATCATAAGTATCAAATATATCCTGTTTATTTACTGTAGTTCTGGCTGATTTTTATGTATACATTATGAACATACTATATATTGTATCATTTTATTTGGATTTTGGGGTCTAGGCATTTTAAAAGAGAATGCTTTCTAATCTAGTTCATACAAGCAGATCATAGAACTTTACATAAATGTTGTAACATTTAACGTGATGAAGAAGTCTGTTCTGTTCTTTTTCACAAGATACTATGTATACACATGAATAATATATAAATAAAGAGCATAGGAAACAAAATTACTTGCTTTAGTTTTCTGGACATCCACGGCTTTGGCTGGGACTGAAAAAGCTGGTTTCTGCTGTTGCTCTGATGTCATATGATTTATTTAGTTTATTTCTGATTTTTAAAGTGAAGTGATATATGTAATACTGTGGAATGTAATAGCTCAGTCCTAAATTATTGCTGTAATGTTTCACCTTCATATTCCATCTATTCCTTATATCTAGGTATAAGATAGACTATTTTAATTTAGTTGATCCTGCAAGGAGCACAAAACTATTGTAGTATATGACTAAGTGTTGGTGTAGTGGTTAAGTGTGCGGACTCTAATCTGGGAGAACTGGGTTTGATTCCCCACTCCTCCACTTGCACCTGCTGATGTGACCTTGGGTCAGTCACAAACTCTGGCACAACGGTCCTTGAAAAAGAGTAGTTTGTGTCAGAGCTCTCTCAGCCCCACCTACCTCACAGGGTGTCTGTTGTGGGGAGGGGAAGGGAAAGGAGTTTGTAAGCCGCTCTGAGACTCCAAGTGAAGGGCGGGGTATAAATCCAATCTCTTCTCTTCTTCTTCTAAGTGTGAGCTATGAACCTGATCCAGATCTCATGCCATCCATGAACTCACTAGTGGCCTTGGGCAAGATATTTGCCAAATACTAAGGGCCAGCTTGGTGTATTAGAGAGTGCCAGACAAGTTGCCAACTGCTGTTTATCCTGTAAGTGAAAATACATTGTATCCTAATAACTCATCTCCTGGGTCATGTCTAATTTAGCCATGAACATAAAATGTTGTTGTGACGACCTCTTATCTGGGGAGGTCTGGTTTCCCTTTAAAATGTTCTTTATGTTTTGTTTTACTGTGTATATCTGGCTGCCACCAGGAAATTTAAGGCTTTCCGAACCTTTATACTATAATATTTCTATCACTGGGTAGGTAGGTCGAGGTTTCAGGCTTTCATGAGGGTCTATGTGTTTTCTGAGAAATCATTTCCTTCAGAGCTGGCAGACTTAAATAAAAGTAGATTTATTGGTATAATTTGTAAATAATATGGTAGAACACTGTAACTAGGAATGGGTAAATACTAAACAATTGCTTTGAGTATTTCACACACTTTTCTCTCCACTGTCAAGGATCTTGGCATGTAACTTTGTAACTTTAACTCAAGGTCATGTAAGTTCACTGTTTCTCTCCAGGACATACAGCCTTTCCTAAACTTTGTCTTCAATTACTTTCATTTACATTTTACTATTCTCTCAGAACAACCTCAGCTGTTCTTAACTGCACACACAGACTACTTCTCTCACAGACTTCAGAACGAACTAACTGACTGCTTAACTGTCCTCATCAACTGTCACCCTTCAGCTGTCAAAACCTCAAACTGTCACTCCTGATAGACATACATATTCATCCACACAGCATCACTTCCAAAACCACTCCCCCTCTCTGTCACTCACCAGTCACACCACACTTGCCTCTTCAAGCACTCTAGACTATCACATGCAACCAAACTTTTAAAAAGACACACACCCATAAACAAGGAATCGTTACAATTGTGTTCTTAAGGAACATCAGGATTACAATCTAATGGATAACCCAGTTAAGAAAGAGTTTTAAGGTGACTTTTTCACTCTGATCCTGAACACATAACATGAAAATAATCCCACTGATACTGAGTTTTTCCCTTTCCCCCCTGTCTTTTTAGGACTTGGAGGCTTGTGAAAATCTGATGTAAATACTCTGTTAAAGAAGTGAAATACGGCATTAAAATGGCAGGCTTCCTAGACAATTTCCGATGGCCTGAATGTGAGTGTATTGATTGGAGTGAAAGAAGAAATACAGTTGCTTCTGTGGTAGCAGGCATTCTGGTAAGACCAACAAAAAAATGTCAAATCAGTTTATTATAAATCATTATTTCATCCCTCTCATGCATTTTAACTCCTTATAAATTATTAATATTTGGCAAGCACCCACTTTTATAAAAGCTTATAGTATCTCTTTGGATCCAAACGAAGTTAGTCAATCACATTGTTGCCTTGGGCCACCTACTAAGTGCAGTTGTTCTTCTCAGAGAGAGATGTTTATGTTGGCCCTGTCCATATACTGGATGGACATACACTAGAGGACAAGCTCACAAGATAACCAGTTAGAAGTTCAAGTGGCCCAAAGATCCAATATAAGAATACAAGTAAATTTGAACTGGGAAATGTTGCCGTTAATGAGCGGGAAGCTCTCACAAATAACAAAAATTGTCCACATCACAGGCTCTGTGATGGCTTGCACAATGGAGATAAGAAATGACTCTGACAAAACAAATGTAAGAAGTAAAGTGCAAAACATGATCCATGCGCAAGATGACTGACATATATTTGTGGCAAGTTCTGCCATCCTGAGATTGACCTCTTCAGCTGCCAGAACCTTTGTTGTGCTAATACTTGCCTTTGCGTTGTATGAACAGTTGAGGAAGCTGTTAAGTTTCTTTTCTTAAAAACTGGATGTCATCCAGAGCTCTGAGACCACAAGCTCACTAGATCAGCATAAATGACATGACAGTTCAGCACTATTCCAGGCACATTTGATACTGGCAGTCTTTAATCAGCAGTTGGACAAACACTTGTCAGGGATGCTCTAGGCCAGGGGTGTTGAACTCATTTGTTACAAGGGCCAGATCTGACATAAATGGGACTTTGTGGGGCCAGGCCATGCGTGTCATAAAATGTAATACCAGGCAGCAGAGATATAAACTTTATAAAAGATACAAACACAATTAAATATATTTTTAACTTAAAATACAAATATACTTAAAACTCTTGTGATATTTTGTTTATTCAACAGTCTTTGATAACTGACGTCTCCCAAACCTGCCCCCCGCAAAAGGTGCCTGCCTAAAATGGAAAGGTGGGGGAATAGTAGGGTTTGGCAATACAATTTTTAAAATAAAACTTCAAGAAAAAGCACAAGGATCACAGCAGAAACTAAAAATATAAAATGCTCTGAGCCGAAGAACCTAAAATGGCTGGGCATTGCAAGCTTCTTCCCCCCCCCCCCACTCTGGCAGTGGCTCTCCAGTGTAATGTCCCCCTTTGGCTGTGGGTTCCCAGGTTAGAGTACTCACTCAGGCACCCGTTCTCAGGTCCATTCAGCAGAGACAAGCTGGCTTAAAACATCAACCCTGTATTTGCAAGGAGACAACTCCAGCAAGCAACAGCTTTAACTGTACAAACACTGGAAAGTGAAACTTCTTGAGCTTCACTCTATTGAAATACATTGCAGCACAGACAAAGTCGTAAAGAAAATGCGGAATGGATTTCCCATTAAGGTCTCTGGGCCCAGATAGACTACTCTAGGACTGGAATGATAGCCTCCAGAGTGAAATGACAGTCCCTGGGAGTAGCAGAAGCATTCTGGGATTGGGATGAAGGCCCCTGGAGTGGAATTCCATTCCCACCATGCTGCTGCTACTCCCAGGGGCTGTCTTTCCACTTTGTGCCCTGTCATTCCAATCCCAGAACACAGATTCTATTGCTAGGGACTGTTATTCTACTCTGGGGGCTATCACTCCAGTCCCAGAGCACTGTTTCTGTTGCTTCGAACAATTCCAGAAGAGTCTATCTGGGCTCAAAGACCTTAATGGAAAAATCCATTCCGTATTTTCTTTGCTCTAGGCTGATTTTGCATTGAGCAGGGGGGTGGGCTAGATGGCCTGTATGGCCCCTTCCAACTCTGTGATTCTAAGTGCCAAAAGTGGTGATCGCTTTCCTAAAATGAGTGTTGAATTCTTAAGTGACACATGGAGTTGCTATGGATTTGGATAAAGGCCTTTATACTTCAGCTTGGATCCTGGAAATGAGTTCTGTGGTGCTGGATTGTCTCTGCTGCAGAGTGTGCTTCAGAGTGTGCTTCCTCTTCTGTTAAAATTCCTGTTTGAACAGGGGTCAATTGAAAACCATTGCCCTTGAGCAAATTGAAGTTTTAGTGGAAGAGGAAGCACATTCCACCGCAGATGTGCAGAACTAATTCAAAGGACTCAAGCCTACTACTCTGCTCAGCCAAGTTTGGAGCCTTCCTCCATCTTTAAGTGGCTCTTCCACAGATGGCAAAAAGTTTCAAGCTCTGCTGAGTGTAGTAGCATACAGGCCAGCCTAATTGATTAACTCAAGAGGAATATTGTTTAGGATGACAAAAGGCTGTTGTGAGAATCTTGTTCCTTTATTCTGGCCTTTAAAAATATTAACTTTCAACAAGAATATGAAAAGCAGGGTTAAAAGATTTTTAAAATCTTGTGTTTTCTATCTTGTCATAGAAAGGGTCTGTTTGCATAAAACTCAAGGGGGCAGCCATCCACTTTCAAGACCAAAATAGGCATATCCTGATTAGAGGGTTGGAATGATTTCAAAAAGGGTAGATAATGATTTGCACTTTGTTTCTTATATTTGCAGCTATTTATTCAGTCCTGCATCTGTCTGTGTTTAGCCTTTTTAACTGTACATCTCCTGAGTTACATCTAGTTTTGGCTCTTAAACACAGTTTGCAGGAGAGGAGGAGAGGTGAATTGAGAAGTCATGGAAATGCTGTGTCACACTATTGCCTCTACTTTGAGCTCATCCATAACAGGTCACTCTTGCAGTTCTGTCTTGGAGGCATCTGTTTCACAAAAATACAGAATATATTTACTGGTAATATCTTTGTCTTTTAACATTTTCGGCCTCCAGTAATGCCAAGAAGCTGGAAGGTCCAATCATAGCATATTGCCTATATAAGCTTAGAAACTTGATTTCTGTCGTGGAGACTGAGAGGGTAGAACCCAAAACTAACATGGTGGAGAAGTGGGTTGAATTATATAAATGGCCTCTGTGGAGATTTCTAATATGGTCACTTGTCTTGTAAGTTTTTTACAGGTTGGTGGATAATGATAGATGCAGCTGTAGTTTATCATAAGCCGGAAGAGATGAACCATGCATTTCATACTTGTGGGGTGTTTTCCACATTAGCCTTTTTCATGTAAGTACATGCAAGTAAATTCCATACTTCAGAATAGCAACTACTGTTTGTAAATTGTCTCTAATAGCAAATTCTTTTAGGGAAAACAAACAGAAGTCTTGGGACACCTTCAAGACTTAACAGCTTTTTATTTGATCCTGAGCATTATTTGATCTTTCATGAGTCTGAGGTACACAACTTTTTTGGCCGAAGTACCTCAAGCCCCATAATATCTACCTGTGAAGATATTTCTGTGAAGAGACAAGGATTGTACTTGGCCAGATGCACTGCACTGGGAGCAAGCTGAGACCCAGTCACATTGCCAGGGCCTCCGGGGTTTGCCCTGGTCCCTTGGGAAAGAGCGGGTCCTGTATGCTGAGCAAAATGGTCTGGTGTGCCACTATTTGACAAGTATGGTGGGGATCAGTGTTCCCTCTAAGCTGAGTTAGCGTGAGCTAGCTCACAGTTTTTTAGCCTCTGGCTCGCAGATTTTTGTTTTCGCTCAGGAAGGATGGCTCCAGAGCAAACTAATTTATGCAGTAGCCAAAACACTCGCTCACAACTTTAATGCCAGTAGCTCACAGAGTAGGATTTTTGCTCACAAGACTCCACAGCTTAGAGGGGACATTGATGGGGATTACCTATCTCTGCTCTAGTTTATGAAATTTTATGGAGGGATAAAAACTTGATAGTCTTGAAGGCGTTGAGTGTATACTGTTAGGCTTGCTTTGCCATTTGAAGACTAGGGTGGAATAATGAAAAATAAGTATGACATAATAGTGTCATCATTTCATTATAAGCCATGTGAACACTTTTCTGGAAACTTTTTACTGTTTCACATGGTTGAAAGTAAAAGAAAATAATTGCAATAATAATTATTATAATTTGTTATATTGTTATAATTGTTATGTTGTTACAATTTCATTGTATTTTCAATGTGCTGTTTATTACTTTCATAAAGAATGGGTTAAATGGAATAAAGATAAACATAATGGAATTTAAAATTATTTCTTTAAATCAGGTCTTCACAGTTATTGTGAGAGGCCTGACTTTTCATTAAACCCAGCTGACTCAGTTATCACATTTGGGGAGCTAATTAAATGCTGGGAGGTAACACTGAGGGAAGGTCTTGACCTCTTTGCCCTCTTTATTGGTCCTCCGGGGCATCTGGTTTGACTGCTATGATAGTTCCAGCAGGGCTCTGCTTAGGATTTATTTACCTCATATATATTCCACTTTTCTCCCCTGGGGCCACTCAAACTGGCTTACAGTATTTTCCCCTTCTCCATTTTATCCTAACAACATCCCTGTGAAGGAAGGCTGAGATAAAATTCTTAATTATTCCTGTTAATTTTTAAAATGAAAAGTCTCCTCTCTGAATCCCAAACAAGCTGTAATTCCATTATGTAAAATTAAAATATGAATTGATCTTCAGAGCATTCATCATCCCAATGGGCTGTTATGCATGTAGAATTTTGAATAAGTGGCTTGCAGTTTGGCAGACATCCTTGGTGTGATTGCATGTGCTGCATGATTAAGGCAGGATTCTTCAACCTGAACAACTGTGAACCCATGAAAATTTCATAATCAGTTATGATTAGTATTCTCCTTAACATAGGAAGCTGCCTTTTACTGAATCAGACCATTGGTCCATCAAGGTCAGTATTGTCTACTCAGACTGGCAGTGGCTCTTGAGGATCTCAGGCAGAGGTCTTTCATATCACCTGCTGCTTGAACTTTTCAGCTGGAGATGCTGGGGATTGAACCTAGGACCTTCTGTGTGCCAAGCAGGTGCTGTACCAGTGAGCCACAGCAGCTCCCCAATAATTACCTTTCTCTGGTTATTTCTGTTCTATTACTTCAAAGAACAGTTAATCATCTCTCCAGAATCTCACATTTTTACATTCTTATATTTTTATTTAGCTTTTTGTTACATTTTAGTTAGTATCTTAACCTAAAATGTAAAAAGTCCAAAACTATTATAAATCATATTGCAACATTTACATTACTCCTTTTCATAATGGAGTTTAGCTCTTCAAAAGATACCATGCAGTCTTCATTGATTATTTAATACATCTGTTTCAGATTGTAAATAATGCAGTACAGATAGCCTGTAGGATTTTATAAACCTTTTTAACTAAATAACACTACAAGAGATTGCAATAAAGCATTTTGGTCTGTTCCAGGATAAATGCTGTATCAAATGCTCAGGTGAGAGGCGACAGTTACAGTGATGGATGCTTAGGAAGAACAGGTAAAGCTGCTACTGTTTATCTGAATCAGTTATGCTTACAAGTTTACATTTGCATCCTGATCATAGTATGCGCTTTGCAAGCAAAGAACTGTTCAGGATAGATCATAGCAAAACTGCTGTTCCAGTTTCCAGGTGGTGTTTATAGATTGGATGGTGTTAGAATCTCTTCATACAAGGAGGTGATAAACATTATTGCTAATTATTTTTAATATAGGTCTGAAATCTCACCAAATGGGGGTAAAAACGTCATTGATGAACCTATTTGGTATATAACAATTTTATCTTCCCTTCCTCTGGTTCAGGGTAGCATATGTAGGGCTTTTCCTAGTTTATTCTTAACAATCCTGTGAAGCAGGTTAAATTGAAAGATGGTGACACCCCTAAAGTGAAGAGCTTGTTCATCTAAACTGAATAATCTTTCTGCTGTGCCGCACTGGCAATGCCAGTATTGTGTTTGCTAATATCCACCTCATAGTTCTTACAAAACAAAGTCTTAGATTTTTTGAGTTCCAAAAAACTTAGACTGAAGCATATTTCCTTGTAAAGTACATTCCAGTTTTCCTGCATAGTGTTACAGTTCATTTTCCTGGAATATTTCAGTAGTCATTGAAAGTACAATATCATTTGGAGTACATTTGGAGTCATTTGGAAGTATAATATTCCTTACAGATGTGTCCTGAAGATGTGTCCTGATCTGACCTATTGCGATGAAAGCTAGTTTTTGTTGTTTTCAGTGGATAGTGAAATACAATTAGTGATGCTGCTTTGTATCGGCCTCCTCTTACTAACTTGGATCCTAAGAATTGTGATTAGAACACATAATGATCTTTGCTGCTTCCCCATTTTCACTGGAGCTACCCCTTAGGGACAGGGGATACTTGGGAATGGCATAAGATGTTTGTGCAGCTCTGGTTGGAATTTCTTCTCTCTGTCTGGAACCCACCCATCCCATCCTCTTCTTAAAGGTCCACCAGTTTAGGTCCCCTCAGGAAACTCAAGGGGAAGGCATCAACATTCTGTGAATGAGTATCTCAGTTCTTTACATGTTTTTCTTGCAGGTGCTCGTGTTTGGCTCTTCATCGGCTTTATGTTGATGTTTGGCTCACTTATTGCTTCCATGTGGATCCTTTTTGGAGCATATGTTACTCAAAGTAAGTTTTATCCTTTGTCCCTTAGTAAGAAAGAGAAAAAAACCTGTGGGAAGACCTATGGACACAATCAGATGGTGGACTACTAGTGGAAGAACCAAGTTTAAATTCTTTTCTGCAACAGTCTTGTTCCAGTTGAGTGTATTTAGCCTAACAGAGTGTTAGGACAAAATAGGGCAGACCATGAATGCTGCCTTGAGGTCCTTGGACGATGGGCAGGATAAAAATCCCCCAAATGACATTTTTCTCAGTGAATATTAAGTGCATACTTAATTTGCTTTCTGTGGAAGATAATTAAATCTGCTTAAATTACTCACTGGAAAGCATGAAACTTACAAGTACTTAGAGTTGTTTTTAACCCTTTACTGGAACCTTTCCATTAGAAATTGCCCCAAGGAGTATAGTATACAGGATAACAAACAACAACAACAATCAGATGCAGTATAAACCAGTGATAATGTAGCTTAAACAAAAGTAGTAGATACCAAGTAAGAATAACTTAAAGAACTGGTAAATTTGGGGGGCAGGAGGAAGTTAACCAGGAGCAGAGGCTGAAGTAGTTTGGCAGGCCTCCCTTGGAAGGCTGTTTCATAAAATAACACTGAAAAGTACCTAATTGTGCCCTGATAGTCTAACTTCATAAAAGAAGGAATTTGGCACAAAGCTTAACTGGATGATTTCAAGTAGACAGTCATAGCTGAATAGGAGAAGGTGCTCTCTAAAGTATCTTAGGGTCATTTAGTCCAACCTCCTGCACAATGCAGGGAAGTCACAAATACCTCCTCCCCATACCCCCAGCAACCCTTGTTCCATGCCCAGAAGATGACAAAACAAACAAACAAACAAAAAACAGCCCTCCAGGATGCCTGACCAAACTCGCCTGGAGAAAATTTGCTTCCTGACCCCAAAGTGGCGATCAGCATTTCCCTGGGCATGTAAGAAAGGGCCACAAGAACTAAGCACTGATGCAACCCTTCCTGCCCTTCCCTCTCATGAGCTGCCTAAATTCACAGAATCAGCATTGCTGTCAGATGGCCATCTAGCCTGTGTTCAAAAACCTCCAAAGAAAGAGAGCCCACCACCTCCCGAGGAAGCTTATTGCACTGAAAAAAATGCTCTGTCAGGAAGTTCTTCCTAATGTTTAGCCAAAAACTCTTTTAATTTTAACCCATTGGTTCTGGTCCGTCCTTCTGGGGCAACAGAAAACAACTCTGTACCATCCTCTATATGACAGCCCTTCAAGTATTTGAAGATGTATGTGGACCTTAGATTATGTTGTGGTTCATAAATTATTTATTTATTTATTGTCAGATTTATACCCCGCCCTCCCCGCAAAGCAGGCTCAGGGCGGCTTCCAATGACATAAATACGTTATAAAAACATACATAATACAAATTAAAACATAAGTTAAAATTAATACATTACAAAGTGCTGGCGGCAGTTAAAATTCAAGCAGAAGGAATGCTTTCAGATGGGTTTCCAGCTCCCAGCATAATAACCAGCCCTTCAGTTGAGCTTGGAGGCTAGAAGTAGCCATCATAGCTATGCCAGATAAAATTATGTTCTATTGACAATAGTCCAAGTTGTATAACTGTGTGTCATCTGGACCATCTATAAAGGCATATACAGTGCATTACAAAAATCCAGTCTTGAGGATGCCAGTGTTGAGTGACTGTGGCTAGGTCCTGCTTATCAAGCAGGTCTGAGAAACTCTGGAATTCTTTGCCAACTGAGATTGTGCAAGACCCTGTAAGATCTCATTCACCATTTTGAATTGCCAAAGCAATACCTCCACCATGCATTTAGTTAGGATTTAGTGCCCTCTTCCAAGTATTGAGTGTCACGTGGGTGGCCTGATAATTGACAGAAGGCACTCAGTCCTAAATCCAATTCCCTAATGTGCAAGGCAAAAGAGGGGAGTCAACTTTCTAGTGGAGCCCGGGGAACAGGGGGAGCAAGGACCAAAGCCATGGGGAGGAGTGCTGGGCTTGAGGGAAGTACATTTTCCTTCCCTTGTGGGCATCATGTTTTGTCATCTACTGTAGTTATGATTCAATTTCTTTGGCAAATTCTGTACTTATTATACAGTATGTAATTTTCTTCCAATATCTTGCAACTAGAGGTACTGAGAGGGTGAAAGTCATATGCTGACAGCAGAAGTGCTTTAAGTACATACTTCTATCACCCTGGTTCTATATGCACATTTGAAACTTCATTGATTATACCAAATTCCTAGGTAAGCATTCTTGGGATTACAGCCCTCTCTTTTTACTGCACAGATTGATACATTTGTTATCAAACAACTGTACCTTACTGTTAATGAGTTACTCTGACCAATCTGTGCTTCAGTATGACTTGTACAAGGGGAGGTTTTCTTTGAAATATGCTCTCTGTATCTTTAGATAATTGATACCTGGGGCCCTATTCAGATACTACTCTCCTGGAAGAAATCTTGGCCTGGGCCCTTACATACCTTCCCATGTTCATGGAATGTAGCAAGGAAATGTACTCCCCCACATTTGTTAGATTTCCTGAACTTATAATCTGCTCACCCACTTTTATCTAGGGATATTACCACATGTGGTATAGCGTTGTTCACTTGACTTCCTCTGTGCAAGGAAAGAGTAAAAGGTGGGACAAAATGCCTTTTTAAGATCTGAACAGAATCTGGATATTTAAATGCTTCCCCCTCCCCAGTCATAGTGTGGGCAATCATTTTCATCCTGCTGTGTTTGTTTTTTTAAAAATATAATTTATAGAAATTTGGTATGGAAAAATCTGAGTATGTGTCTTTGTTTTGTAGATATTAATGTCTATCCAGGATTAGCAGTGTTTTTCCAAAATGCATTGATATTTTTTAGGTAAGTAACACATCTTAAAGTTGGGTAATTATGCTGATGGTGCAGATGTTTAAAACTTGTGAAATACTAGGCTCAGTAAAATGAAATTGTGATCCTCTGAACATAGGCCACTCCACTCCACTATAGTTATTTAAGAATAGTGACATCATGATGTGAAACTGTTGCTTGAAGTGGGTATATAAATTGCAGGTAGTCTTAGCTATGATCTGACATGTTATCCTGATTTCACAAACTTAAGTTAAAAGCATGGTTTCACTTTATGTTTGAACTGAGCCTTCAGTTAAAATGATGTGAAAATAAAGCCAAGTGCATTTTTAGTCCGGTCATAAAAAATGCTGGTCCCTGTACACATGTGAGGAGGTTAACTATACTCACAACTATCCCAGTATAACCTTGCAAAAGCATCATGTTGTATGTAGGCACCATCATCCAGAATAGCATGACAGTCATTCTACCAGAGGCAATAGTAATATTTATCTATAATGCCTTAATTTTGTAAAGTTGAAAAGTTCTTGAAATAACTTACAACATTAATAAAAATATTTATAATATGAAGGAAAAATGTTCTGTAGCCCTAATAAAGATGTCTAAGTGCCTGTAGTATTTCGTAATCTGTTAAATCTTTAAGCATGGCTATCTGAAAAAAAATCTGTGCAAACTAATAACGTGGTTCAGACATACAGGACTATACATAAGCCATTAGCCTGAGATCTATGCTTCTTCTTCTGTGTTGCTCTTGTGCCCTTGACTGTTGACCAGAAACTTGTGAGATTGGTCCTCACTTCAAAGCAACCCAGTTTGCTTGACTATTTCAGTTAATTAAAGCAGTTCACAGTGATGTCTGAAAACATGTCACAGTGAAATATTGCAGGTCTTTTTAAGACCAAGGAGGGGGGGGGTTGCCATTCTTAAAAGGAAATAGCTAAGAAACTTTCTGTTTAGAGTCCTGGTTCTGTGTCCTGAATTTTGAGCTGGCACAGACAGTTGGCAGAGATACAACAGGGGGAGGAAAAAGAGTCCTTACATGTCTAAACTTCTGTCTTTACAGTACTTTAATCTACAAATTTGGAAGAACAGAAGAATTGTGGGGCTAATACATTATTCTCCCTGCTACTTTATGAGTCCTGTATGTACATATAACTTCCATTTTGGCTGTTTTAAATTTTGCCAAAGTCATAGATGTCACATTATAGACTTTGTATGTTTTCTTTTTTGAAAAGTTTAAGATTTATTCTGTTCAAAAATTGCTGTATTTAGCTACCTTTTCATAGAACTGATTTGTGAATATGTACATATCTGTATATAGATATATAAAAATGAATGTTAACCTTCCATCACAGTTTGCAGACTTTTCTGCTTTGATAAATGGAGAATGTGTTAAGGCAAATTAGATCAACAAGCCATCCTGCTTGCACCAGTGAGCTGTAGTAGCTTCTCTCACATATTAGCTGAACGATAAAATTTTTGAAATAAGTGGTTTACCTAGA